CAGTCGTACTTACTTTCCAATTTCACAATGCATGATGGGAAGATGTGAGGGGGATGGCGCGGTAGCGTGAAGAACCAAGTCGTACCAGAACTCGGCAAGGACTGGGTGTTGGAAGATAACGCTGAAATAACGAGAAWTACCATCAGAACAAAGCAAGGACAAACCACCACAAGTCAAGAAATAGAAGCTTTGCACCACCACRTGATGGCAGCCATGACAGGGGGCAGGAASAGTGGACTTTATCGAAGATACAGCGGCCATCTTGCCAGGGGGCAAAACAAAACGAAAATGATAAAAAATATATAGATTTTCGTGTGTTTTTTCTTTCTTTTCTTTCTTTTATGGGTAAAGGTGATCAATGYGACGCCTTAATTCATTTTTTGTTGTATTYTCTWGTGGTGAGCTGTWAATATCAATCAACGTCATTACTGTAACAAAGCTTGGTTTGCCCCCTGGGCGCCCCATAATGCCTTGCGATCCAAGATGGCCRCCGTATCGTCATATCTGGTRTAATCTRATTTACATKAGAAWGAATYCAGTTTCCCAKGAGGKTAAAAGACTCTATTGTTGTGCCTCAYGTCRTGGCTGCCATCACTTGATAGYACAAGAGTWCAAGAGTAAATCAAGATCAAGCCAAKATCTTTTAGATCAGTGTTCTTCATACCTTCCCTTGAACTCTCCAATCTTAGTAGGCGAGAAGTGTAGYCTGTAAATAGCCTTTTGCCTCGGGTGCACAGTRATCGTGGCATCTCCATCGAGCCCAACTCCRTCTATAATGAYATCTATGTCCGCTTTCTCACGTGTGGGATTCGAGACTTCAATTTCAACAGACACGGCGGAATGCGCCGCGCACGTGACCTCGATAGTCTTTTCCTGGGAAGGAGCTGAAGCCTGGACCTCTATGTAGTACCATAGTTGATAAGGTCGGGAGGGTGGATCGGTTATTGCTCCTGGTGAAGTGCCTCGTTCTGAAGAGGAGTGATCGGGYTTTTTGACTCGTGRGTCTTCGTCTTCGCTATCGGTGTCTTCGATCCTTTGAAAAGAATAAGTTGTATGAAATGAGACAGAATGGGATGGGATGAGACGAGACGAAGAAAGGGGTGAATGAATGATAAGTGAGTAGAAGATAAAAAAGCTTGTAAGAATACAGTCATACTTTGGAACAACATGAAAGTAAGCCAAAAGGACAGAAGGACAGACAGACAGACAGGCAGACAGACAGACAGACAGGCAGGCAGGCAGACAGACAGTAACAAACCTTGCTGTAACTGGGGTAATTTCAGTCTCAGATATCGCAGTGAACGACACCATCCCAGTAAACTTTCCACGTTTCCATGGCGAGACTTTGACCACGTGTTCAGCTGTTTGCGATGGAAGCACCGTTATCGATGAAGAGCCTGACACAATCTCTAAATCAGTCAKAACCTACGGAAAATAACATACGAGTGGTTATGTCCTTCCTAGTTCAACCCTAACTCATCCAAACTGGTTAGAGCTGTGCTCCGGGGTCATACATGGACTRCATAGAAACTGCCACAGGCAACCTTTAAATTGTTTTTATTTTGACCGCGTTGAGCTGCGCCGCTGCTGTACTTGAGTTGGTGATTAGCGATAAATTTTAAAGTGAATAAGTTTAGTCCTGTTTACCTGGAAAGTCACCTTCTTCTTGGTCATGTTCGGTACGGCAAGAACGTGGGTAATACTGTAGCAAATTGAAAAATAAGAATATTATCTTAAAAATCTAAATAAAATAAGAATATTCGAAAATATCCTGTTCTAGTACAATTTTAGACTCGAATATAGCTAAATCCCGGGGGGAGGGGGGTACTGCCCTATATTCGCTATACGGTTAATAACTATATATAGACCGTTCGCATTTATAATGAGCAACATTTGATAGAAAACCTTCTCAATTGATAAATAAAATACTTAATTACCTCGAACGTCGGCAATAAGCCGACGTTCGAGGTAATTAACTCTTACATATAAACAGGGTATATAAACAGGGTATATAAACAGGGTATGTAAACAGGGTAAGGTTTTCTACTCTGGAACAGGGTATATAAAATCGCTCTCGCTCTGGGACAGGGTATATGGAATCACGCTCTCTCCTCTCTGGAACAGGGTATCTATTTTTGCAATACCGGAAAAGGGTATGGTTTTCAGCGATCTTGCTCTGGAACAGGGTATGAATTTCAGCGAT